TATGGGAAATAGTTGGGATAAAATACGCAAAGATACCTACACCTAGGTGTCAGCGGTTTGTGCGTGCTAAGAATAGACCACCTAGTATGATAGAGTTCATTAAACGTTCATTCAATGACTATAATCAAAAAGATAAGGAAGCCCATCTGTGTGGGTTTCCTGAGAATATATCCTTCCAAATTGCTATTAATGCTTACGGAGTCATCCAGAAGAGGTAGGCTACCCTTCTTTTTTTTAACTCCGTGATAAATTTAGTAATCTCATCTAATCAATGAACTCCTTCAGCATATGCCGCATTGCTAAGTTGATTGGAAACTTTACTTGAGTACGCAACATTCATGGATCGGTCAGCAAGATTAAATCTCTGCTTAACATCTTATCCGAAGCGGGATCACGTGGGAAGCATTAAACCACCAAGTATTATGCAATGGCGGCACACAAGAAACAGATTTACTAAGAGAATAAGATCCACAAACCCAGTGAAGAGCTAAATTGCGTATTACATCCACGAAGAGCATAATAAAAAGCAGGAGAATGGTTGCTTATGGTTTACCCGAAGTAGCAGCAAACCGCCCAGAGTAATAACATCTGCCGAGGAACACAGAACAAGCTATCGGCATGAGGCAACCAGGTAGTTGCGTTTAGTCGTAATTAAATCGATGATAATTTGTAAGATTCCAAGTAATCCCGACGTGCCCAAGGCTTACACATTCTAAAAAATCCTAAACACGAATTTTAAGGATCCGCTAGTCTAGTTATCCTGCAGGTCAGCATCTAGCAGACTTTAGAGGAAATACCAGTGCGAAGAGGACCTGTCAATTATAAATTGACTTTTTGCTTATATATGGATATTTATAGGCCAATTATCTTAACGTTTGTGGTATAATAATCACTATCCAACGCTACTACTCTTGGCACGTTATTATAGCAGTCTTAAACCCATTAAGATTACCCTATACAACTACATATAATTTTAACATGAGGCATATGATGGATGACACAAGTGCGGGGATAATGGCATCAAATGGGCTGCCTGATATCTAAGAATTCATCGGATATTGAAAAAAATAAGTGCAAATAATAATTTTCAAATTCAGATAATCCACCTTACAGATGGCGCTGGTAAAGGGAAATCAAATAGTCCGCTTCATTTGGCAATATTATGTACAACGGAGCTAGTCGGATTTCTTAAGAACTCTAGAGATAAAGTTTAGCAAAGAAACAAACCTATATTGAGCTGTAACAATGGCGTGGCCACGTTCATAAGGTTCAAGAGTGACTTGTTCTCGGGGGGTGAATTGCAATTTTCTCAATGTATCAACTTCTTTAGCAAAGACAACCTCAGGGGAGGCAACAGAATCAATGCATGACGCCTTGATTGATATGACAGCATGTCCACCTTGCTTGAGATAATAATCAGCGTTAAATCCAACTATACGAGATTGATCAGGCTGAGCAACATCTGAAAAAATACAATCAACCATGCCTATATCGTTATCAAAAAGATGCATTTACCAACAAGCATCCGATATTTGTGGGGATGTCGGGCATCTTCGATTATAGGAACTATATTGGTGCGGTG